CTGCATAATCATGGGGTTGATGAACATATTGGCATGAATATAAAGATAGTTTTCACCAAACTTTATTGTTTGTTTACATATGCAAGTTAATTATGGTTGGATGTATTAGATAACGATTCTTTATACCTCTCAATTATATCCCCAATGCCCTTGGCTATTTGTTAGGGCTCCTGAACACTGCTGGTCACGTAGTGTTTGCTGCGAACACAGTGTGCCCATAGACGTACCATTCAGATGGGTTTAGTGATTGTATCAAAAGCGTAACACTAATAAGTTCATTGGGCAGTGAATTCAACGGGGAAAAAGCGGCTAGATGGTCACTGTTTACCTGTGTTGCAGCTATGTACTGACATAGGGCACATTTTTGAAAGATCTAGACAAAACCACTGGCATTATTTTCCGCCAAGAAAATGATCAGAACTTTTTTTTCGACAACATATTTCTATTTTCGCATTTGGCGCTATTTGCGACCGCTGTCGTGAACTCTGCGATCTTTTCTTCGCTTTGTAGCTAATCACGTAAGTAGAAACAACGTATTCACCATTTGTTCAGAAGGGAATCAATTCAAACTGTATTTAAAGGGACATCACGTGAAGAGCCATAATTTTTTAATGAATGCATGTGTTGTATGCACTCCCACTTATGTTACCTCGCTATCCCCATAATCATAGTCCAATGTCCAGTTTGACCCTTTGAATTGTTCGGGAAAGCCCTGTTAAAAATAGCGCCAATAACGTCAGCTAACGGTTCTGAAACGAGGCAGGAAACACAGGCAGTCTGACAAAATGAAACGTTTCCAAAGAGGCCCCCAGAGAGGGGCCGTAAGGCAACTGCAACTTCTTAACGCACTATGACACTAAGTAATATGATTTCTAAGTGCGTGTTGAAACTTACTGAATCAGTAATTATTCATCATCGGAAGTTAATTGCACACTTGCCAATATTTAGATTTAAATGTATTACCGGAATGTGACCGGTACAGATGGTACGGGGCTAAACACCTTCCCTCAACCATGGGACAAACTTTATGTAAAAAGGAATATTCACGAGACGAATATCCCTTTTCGAATGCTTTCATAAAGTATATATATGCAATGCAATGTAATGTCTTTAGCCACTTTTCATCTAGACCATGTATATATATATATTAATGTATACTCTCTTCCCCACTTTCACTGTCTCCATACGCTAACACTTAATAAGTCATATTAGCTATCACACACAATAAACTGTGTAGCAAAACAACTACGTGTACATGTATAATATGAGTCAGATATGGAACGTGTTGAGATACTTGATAATTATGTTTTCAATCATTTACATAGATTAAGGCATTCATGTAAATGGACCCTTTTTATGTTGAGATAACTTTTCTTTACTGAATCGGTTCTTTTTTTGTCCGAAACAGAAACCGTAGTTATCGGCAGCACGGGCCATTTTTACAACGTAAACAATTTTTTTTCCCGTTTCAATGCGTATTCCGATTATATCTGAAGTCGAAATTAATTAGTTATAGAGACAAAGTTGTTGCATGATAATACATTCTAAGTCAACATCATGTGAAAACATGAACTGTTGGAACATTACGATTTAAAAAGAAAAAAATTGTTATGCGATCCTATTTACTATAAGTAGGTTCTCTTTCCTCAGTTATTCGTCCTGAACCGCCATTTTGACATTTTCTATCTAGCTGAGATTTTTTTTATATATTGCGTCGCCACGGCAGAGGAGGCCGGGTATTAATATTAGTACCTATTTCATGTAAATACAAAAAAGTCGTTTAATTCAGCAATATAACTAACTCATACCATTTTAATGAACCCGGGAATATTATAAATTATGTAAAGCTAATAGCGCATGTATATCATTTGACTCCGAGTACCGACATCGGATAGAACAGAATACGCCGTGGCCATCACAACAGTTATCCCTTCGAGGGTCTCATAGCAAAATCAAACTAACCAGTCACTTATCCCTTATTTCGCATAAACTACTGTATATAGAAAAACAAAGTAAACTCTCACCGATACATGCCCATTAACATAACAAAATAAGTTGATATGTGTTCAAACTCAGATAAAGATACTAGCGAGGTTAATAGTTTTAGTTATTTATTCATAACATAAACAGCATTTCTGTCGATTCCATTTCAGCTTTTAACCGGCTATTCGGACGAAAACATGCACTGACTAACTGCTAGGGCAGTTATTTTCTCCTTTGAATACTGCCCACCTTATTTCAGACGGCCAGTCATTTTGTTTACAAAGAAATGGTGTGCTATGCGCATGCACAAGTAGAGGGAAATCCCTGAACAAAACGTTGGTCAGACAGGTAGAAATCCCGACGATTATCTGAAAATTATTCATTTTTTATGAATACAAATCGGCCAAATCCGATCGTTATGTTCCATAAGGAGTCTTACTTGATATGGTTATATAGTATTTGAAAAAAAGGCAAACAAAAATATACACTTCACCGTGATGTCCCTTTAAATGTTTTAGTGTAAAAAATGTTGAAAGGCTAATTGTGAATTTACCTGAATGATGATAACGCCGATAAATGGCGTACTCTAAGGTAAGCTGTAATATTAACAATGTCGTTAAAGAAAACGCCGTTAGTTTGACAACGTAATGAAAAGAGGCCCATAAAATTAAGAACGTAAAGAACACGCCGCCAGCTGATTACATACCCAAAAACCTTGTTAGCTTGATAACGCACTCTATTGTAAGCCGTATGCTTTGCTATGTCGATTGAACTCGGCCGCTAGCTTGAAAACATAATTAAGTGTAGCTATTGCGTCAATAAAAACACACCGTTAGCTTCATAACGTTACTTACGGTAAAGAAAATAGTGAATACAATGAGTTATACTTTTGTTCACACTTTTTAGAAATAATAGAAATATCAGAACTAATCCATTTGATAAATCTATCAATAAAATGTAAAAAGCTTTTTATATGGACCCGAAATTGAAAGATCTCAAATAGAAAAAAGCAATAGAATAATTATGACAAGTAAGGTGGGGAGTAGTTTTACGGAATTGTTTGATGTTCAGGTATTCGCAACAACAAAAAAAGGTTTCCTATAGCAACCCATACCCACATTCACCATACATCATCATACTTTTATGACAGTAATTAAATATTAAATCATATAAATCATATTTGCGTGTGTGTAAGTGGATGTGTGGTAGTATGCGTGTCTATATATATATAAAGGTGTGTGTGTGTGTGTCTACATGTGTGTGATACTAAATCGTAGAGCAATACATAGTCTTATTTTGTGTCTTTTTTAAAATTCCATCCAATCTAGGTTCGCCGCGCCTTACTCCAAGAGTTTGATGTGCGTGGGTATGTGATAGTATGCGTGTCTGTATATATATGTGTGTGTCTGCATGTTTGTGATACTAAATCGTAGAGCAATAAGTTATCTTATTTTTGTGTTAATGCCATCCAATCTAGGTTCGCCGCGCCTTGATCCGAGAGTGTTCATAGACCGAAAGATGGGGTTGGCCACTCATGATAATCTAACTATGAATGCCATGTTTCTGTCAAACCCAGAACCGTCATCATTCACATGGATTTTTCAAAACTCTTCAAATAATTCTTTTACTGAGCTAAACGACGGGACAGACAACTTTGTTGTACATAATACACCTTTTACATCAAACCTGTCAGCTTTGTCAGTGGGGACACGTCCGAACATACAAGAGGCCTGGTTTGGATTATATAACGTAACGGCAATAAACAGTGAAGGCAACGGGACAGTCACTTTCACAGTTGCTGCTAAAGGTAAATTAATCATTTTAGCAAAAAAACGTTATTTTAAGTATGTTCCAGTTGCTTTGCCTTGTTTTTCTCTTGGTGTTTTCGTTGTGTGCTGATAGTGTATATACGATCTTAACTTGTGCAGGTGTAGAACGTGATGAGGAAGATCACTCATATACTTTTTTTTTCTTTTTTGAAATATGCTTTAAACATGCGGTATCAATTTTATCAACACATGCACACTGACATTGTGAAAGCAGTCCTGACGACTAGACATTCTGTTTTGAGTAAATATGAATTTACATAATCAAATCCTGATTTTGATTTTTCGCAATTAACGAAAACTTGAAAAATGGGTTGGGTTATGTAGTTTGTACGTTGTTCGAAGCTTAGGTCTTTCCTCCGTTCTTGAAATTGTTTTTATTATTCGCATGTGATGTCATGCATTTTGTCCAAAATGTAATTAAGCCATGGAGAGAAATTATAGTAATCCTAAATATATAGAATCCAAATTATGAAAATACCAAATCTTAAATCTAAATGTTTCCTATAAGCAGCTCCGATTTGGTATTTTGTTACCCACAGGAAAACCAAATCCCCCGTATGAAGGTACAGCTGTGTGTCAAAATACAAATCGTGCCATCTTAAGCTGGAGATCGGCATTCGATGGGGGAGCTGACCAGACATTTGCTGTTGGAAGAAGGCAAAGTGAAAAGGACAACTTTGTTATTGATCAAACCATCGACCAATTCCAGGACCCGGGGCAGCACCGAATCATCAATACAACGGTATCTGGCCTGACGCCTGGTACACAGCATTTTTTCACAGTATATGCTGTGAATACTTTTGGGAACTCGACATTTATAAAGGACATTAACTGCACTACAAAAGGTGATTACGAGCATTTTCGCTTCAATATACATGTACGTTATGAAAAGTAAATACAAAACAGCCTTAAAAAGAACATCATGTTCTTTTTCTCAGAGTTACATTACCGTCATTTTAATTCATTTGCTATATATTGTGAAACAAACTTGATATTCAACTTTTGACCTGCATTTTGTTTTACTTATTTCACTTACAATTTTTCTATATTTTGAATCAGTTACAGAATCCTCCCCCGAGAACTCTCCTTTAGGAGCGATACTTGGCGGAGTGGGTGGATCTGTGGTTGCTATCATTGTTATAGTTGTCATAGTTGTCATCATTGAAAAGAAGAGAAGAACACCTGGAAAAAACACAAGAGGTAAAATCCAGTTGATGATTTCTTTACATGTGTCATCGATCTGAACCTTCCTTTGTCTTTTACCTCCCGTGGACAAACACATTTCTACACACACAACTTTAGGCCTGTAACTTGCTGATAGTAAGGGCTTTCGTGTTTGTTTAAATACTTCACTTTTAACCATTTGATATAAGAGGGATTTATGATACACTTCCATCAAAACAAAGCATGGAATGGTAACACAGGTAAGATGTAAGAAAAAAAACTGGTTGAGAATTAGTTGCGTGATAAAGATGTTATGGTGGATTTTGTTACGATGATTCGACCTTTTTTTCACCAGTCTGAAAATTTGGTAAATAGAGAAACTGACATTGTAACATCACAGTCATCTCAATTGGGACCCGTCCAAGAACGTTAACACAACTGACATTGAATTATCAGACATGAACGTGAAAAACATTGCATGTTTAATTTCCAAAAGGTTATGACACGCCAGAAACAAATTACCACGTATAACTTTTGTTTTTGCAATGTACAGAAACAATACATATAGATACATTGATTTCAATTTTCTCTTTTTACAATAAAGCCATCATTTTTGTTTAGATGTTTCCATTATATTTTCATATCATTGTTACTCTATTTTATCTTAGTTACATTATATCATCACAATTATACTATAACAGAACAGTTACGCTTAATGATCAAAGTTACTCTGAATCACCATAGTTACACTGTACTGCCATAGTTACACTATGTGTCAATAGTTACACTATATCGGCACAGTAACATTTTTTTCACCATATCACCCTAGTTACAATATATCACCATGGTTGCATGTTATAACTATAGTTACACTAACCACTACAGTTATAATTTAGCATCATGGTGACACTAGATCACCATAGTAACACTATATCACCGCAATTAAGCAAATTAACAGTATATCAGTACAGTAACACGTTATCACCATAGTTATAATATATCACACCAAAGTTACACGATATTTAATTACAATAGTTACTCTATATCACCACAGTTATGTCACTATGGTTACACTATATGATAATAGTTACATTTTATTACTTCAGTTGCACTTTATCACCATAGTTACATTTAATCGAAACAGTGTGTTTATACTCACATTTTTTGCTATATTCATCAGAGTTACATGTTAGCATCATAGTTACACTATATTAACATACATCTACATATAATACTAGCTTATATTAGTGATTCTTTGATGGCATAAAATAGTCTTCATTTTATGGTTCTATAGTTCTAAGAAAAGTTAATATATTATGAAATAACCTTTCTTTAGATATTGCAAAGGCAGAGGTGACATTAATGTTGTTGATTTGGTATTTCACTTCACTTCAAACATTCCAAATTGTGTATTTTAAAGTTATTGTTAAGTAGTAAAAGGAATTGGTTTGGACATCTCCATAATCCCCAAGTAATTTTTTCTCTTCATTTCTAATGATGTCAAAAAATGACATTTTCCATCAGATCGATAAATGAATTACAATTTTGCAACTCCACTTAAAATGCTTCATTTTTTGTACTAACTGCAGCCTGCTTAGTTTTGATCCAAATAGTTCCCCAGATTCGTATCTCAATATTTCTTATTTTTTCTTATAAAATTTAGCTGACCTTATAAGCTGACCAGAAATGTTTGATGAAAAAAAATATCAATAACAAAAAATACTTCAATGTTGTTTTAACAAATTAAGCATTTGTTTTCAGATGATGATACTGAGATGATTCCAAGGGTTGGGAGGTGAGTGTTTGACCTGGTAATTTTGGTGCGCTGCTTTTTTGTTTTTTTGTTTTGTTTTGTTTTGTTCACTAAACATTCACGCATACATTTTGAAGAGCATACGGTAAATTTTAAGTAAATAAAATGATGAGTGACATTATCAATTATGGTAAACATTTTTTTTTAACATCTGTTTTTTTGTGATAAATTATCTAAGTAAAGTATTTGGGATTCGCTTTGAGGTCCAATTCGACCACCATGTCCTTTTGGATTTTTTTTTAACTGAAACTCAAATTTTGCTGAACTGATTTTGCACATATTAACAGCTGTGAGTTTAGACTATGCAACAAGTTACTGTGAGCACATTGCCCGCCCATATACGCACATCTGTGCGGTTTAATAAATGATCGCCGTCAAACGTCAAACCTATGTCATGTCTTCAAATTGGATATATAACGCGAATCCAATACACTTCAAAAGTTTATTGCATGACAAGAACCTAACTGTATGAAACACTTTCGTGAATTATAGTAATTATAATTAATAATTTCATACTGAATTATGTTAAAGGTTTTTTGGCTACGGACCTAACAAATAACCCAACGCATTATTTGTGTAATTTAACAATTCTTACAAAACTTCATATTATAAACAAGACATGCCCTATCAATGACACTGGTTATATAGCTTCTTTTGCGGAAAAATTAAATAATATATTGATGTATTCAAAGCAATTATAACAAGCGACAAAATATGGTGGGTCATAGCCGACATACACATATGGAAGGGCATGGCCGACATACACAGTATGTGCAGCTTGTACATTAAGTATTCGCCAAAACAAAAGGCAAAACACTTATCAGTCGTTTCCAGTTTACAAGTTATATAATTATCATACAATATGAAATAACAGACTATACCCTGAGTCATACATTCTAGCTGCTAGATTAAACAAAGCAATATTCTCTAAACTTGAGACTGAACAGGAGTCAAAGTATATAGTTTCCATAGCCTTGCATCGTATCTATACTGTTAAATATCATGATCGTGAGCCTTATGACTCTTAAATAGAAGCTATTTGAGACTTTTAACATATTTGACCACACTAACCTGGATGAAGGTAACATCATTTTAATACAACACAAAAATAATAAGCAGCAAAATAGAATCGGTGTTTAATTTTAATATGACGGTCATGGTAGCGATCACTCTAAGAAAGGATTTCTTTAACCTTAGAGTCTAGCGATGCAGCCGTTTTAGAGGAAGTTGAAATGTTTAAGCCAATCAGGTCCTAGAGCGGCTACAAATCGGACTTAGAGCGGCCATTTTGGATCTCGGATTGTTCTTAAAGAAACATTTGTACAAGTTTGATTTCAATCGGTCTAATTGGTATTTAGGAAATTTACGAAAATGTTCGATTGTTTTCCATTTGAAAAAGACGGAACTGCAAAGTAGAGGTGAAACAAACTTGAAAGGGATAACAAAGCCTTAGTGGATACTTCAACATAACATTTTTGCAAGTTTATCGGAGATTCACAAGACCGGAAATCATATGAGAAGATCGACTTCGTCTCAGGTAGCCTAAAGACACAAAACAAAGTGTCAACAAAATTGTAGTTGCTTCAGAACATTAATATAGGCGGTCCAAAGTTTGTTCTGTTCAAAGAATACCAATTATGTCGATATGAAATTAATGCCAATTTCTTAGGTTATACCAAGAACCATTAAATGATCTTTGAAAGACACGAAACATCTAATTTTGTTCTATGAATTCAATTTTAATTGCGTGAATCACAAACGTTCGTATTTAAAAAAGTAGTTGCTGTTATTTATTACAGATCCGCCGAAGATGATAGTTCAGGTAATTCATAATTTTGTTTTATTTTCTGTCTTCTGATTCATTATTACTTTCACAAACAATAACAATTTGAAGCTGTTTGACTGGGGGAATTTAATCAGTGCGATTTCAGGATGTTGGACAATTTTCGCTCCAACACAGGATTAATATTAAGGTCACAATAGTTCTACTTTCTATCGATCGGAAAAGATATAATTTAAACAACCTGAATTGTTATGACACATTTTCGGTTTTAGGCTCTTGATTCAGATAATAAAAAACAAAAACAGGTGAACAAGACAGGCTCTATTGGCTTCTTTATTTTCTATTTTCGAACAGATGGCATGAAACCCAATATTCTGTATGAATCATCGGGTAAGTACATTTGTAATTGAACCATTATGTCTGTCCAAATAATGTTCAGCTAGATAACGGCATAGGGTTAATACAATTAAGCTTGTACATATATATACATTATTTGTACCTTTCAAAGTCTGTTAAGGTAATATGTATGTGAAGTGTAATATTTGTAATCCTTATTAAGTTTAGTTTTTATTTTGCCTCTCGTTGTGTATTTGCTCAATACACGTCTCGCACTAAAGAATCAAAATCATCACGTGTTAATTCATTCAGGTAAATGAAATTTGGATCTCGACACAAACATCAAGTATGACGAAGATAATATCACTGTACTACCAATTGCATTTTTTAATATTAAAATCACACATGACGGGTAACATGTTGCCTTACAGACGGACTCAAGAAGAACATGCTATACGAGTCCGTTGACGCTCAACCAGGAACTTCCTCGGAATACGCTGTTGTTCAGAAACCTTCAAAAGGAAAGCCTGGATCGCCAGACGCAGTTTATGCTGTTGTGAACAAACCGAAGACTGAACAACTCGAAAACGTTAACGATGTGTATGCAGAGGTTAAAAAAACAAAAAACAAATTAGGGAAAGGTATACTATATTTCTTTATGTATCAACTCTAAAAAAGACTTTTAACAAAATCATGGCTATGTTCGTATTTTTTTATAGATAGGATAGCCTTAATCACAAATATATTTCCGTGAAAATTTCAAATAACAATATAATATCACGAAAAAGTGAGGTACATTTTTTTCCATGTTGACGTGAATGCAACTAATTTCAGTTTGTATTGTTGTAGGAAAACAAAAAGAAGGGAAAAAGAAACAAACAGGTATGAACTACAAGAGATTAGCGAGCAGAACTTGGTTGTTAGCTAATTTCCCTGAAGGGAGGGTAAACTGGAGGGTGTGGCTCCCGGGGCATGGGTGGGGGAACACAGAGGAAAGGGCCCATAAGGGAGAACACAGTAAAACATGTTTAAACTCCTTATTCTTGAGGGATTCGAACCAAAAAATGTGGAGCAATCTTGGACATAGGGGCATCCAGTTGGTATAAATGGAGGATGTGGCCCCCATGGGAGCAGAGGAAGATCCTTCGGCAAGGGAAATTCAGTTTTGAAAAAAAAGGAAAATGGACTCGAATTTTATCAGTGGAAGGGGTTGAGGGGTTGGACCAAAAAGGAGTAATTTGGCAATATTGCTGAAAGGGACTGAAAGTGATGGATGTCAACCATATTTGTTTTGGAGCATTCTTCGATCGTTTAGAAAGCCTCGGGTTTTCAAAATTTGAAAATCCCGAGGTTGAATTTCCCTATCCTATATCCTCAACTACCAAAATAAGCCCAGAAACCATGAAAATGAGGTTGGACTGGCTCCCATTTTGAAAATGTCTATTTTCCCTTGAGCCTTTTTGACGAAAACGAACCTGTCAGCGTTTTAGCATACCCTATATTTGCAAAAAGAGTTTGCTCAGAAAGTAAACCATATCTTTCTAACGTATCGTAAATTCATCACGTTGTCTTTTACCGCATTGCGGCATCGGATTTTTCCAATTCGTGACGTCACGTCCTTATTGAACCTTTGTTACGTCATTGCGTATGCGATAGATTTTCTTACTCCTCTTTCTAACCATGGACAACTCTATCTTACAAACTCGGAAATGAGAGAAAAACATTAAAATATTTTGTGTTCTTGTTGAAATAACATAAACAGAGTTATATTTCAATAATTGTCAATATGCTGACTGGAATATTGCTATAACCAAAAGCCTGTTCGTGTACCTCTCGTTTACAGTTCGAAGTTCGACATTAATAGATCCTTTCTGTGACATATACAGTGTAAACTCACAAGTCTCCACCAAAATGATCACAACGTTCTTACCTGGCTATAATTACTATATTTATCAACGTTCGATAATGAAAATGGATATTTAATACCATATGGAAATAAACATTATGAAAATGTTCAATTAAATTGTGTTGTAACGACATAGGCAAAGATGACAAGAAGAAAACTAAGTGCGGGAAAGGCAACCACAATGGTGCAGGTAGGTTATTGTGATGACATTAAGGGAGCTTACGAACATCTTTTCAATTTCAATTTCAACAAATTTTATTGACAATATAAGCAATAGTCAATAGGATCAGACATCAGGCATAGCCTATCTAAGTCCCCTCCTTAAGGTGACAACAGGTGGTAAGAAACACAGACATATATTTATACATTGATATGATGATTGAGATAAGGGAAAGTAACTCCTTGATGTAAACAGACTTGTTCAATATTCTTGAGATATAGTAACCCTTTCACTAGGGATATTTAATTTGAGATATTTTTTCTAGACTACATGTATTATCTTCGGTGAATAATATCAAGTATTAGACAATGCGTTACTGGTATTCATATAAGGTAAACTGTTGAGTATAAATATTTGGTGATATTGGATTTATTCCCCCAACAGATACAGGCCATACAGTACATATGTATAACACACTAGCCATTACACACTGTTGAGGATCAAAAGCCAATTTCAGCAAATAGATATATAATTTGAAAGTAGGGCTACACCAACTCCTGCAAATAATATGATAATTCTTTAATTAAATTGAAAGGAGCTACTTCATATCTTGATGTAAGCTTAAAAGAAGAAAAAAAACTCGAAAAAACATCTAAGCTGCCCAGAGCCAGTTTCATTCAAAAGGTATATAAAAGGTAAATTAGTATTAATCAAAGGTAGAATAAAGTAGTAGAATCTAATTAATTCCATATTATATTCCATTAGGTATAGCTTGTACTGCTAACTCATTGTAGTTCAATGCAATTCATCAGTATGTTAACTCAGTAAACCTCCTGTCTTTTTAAAGTTTTAGAATTAGCTAACCGGAGTTAGATAAATATGATAACCAATCACCACTTGTTGGAGAACCTTTATATATCAGTACCCTAACAGTTTCTGTATTATTTTGTACAGCTGGAGATGCATACGAACAAGTTGAAGCTGTCGATGGAACAGGAGATAATATCTACGCTAATTGTGATGATGGTACAGCAGCTGCTGCGGATGCGAATCTTTCACGGAGACAGGTACGTGTTTTTCAATTTATATAAAACATTTCATACTATACAAATGTTCCTCGTATGTTGCCTGTACGTAAACTCTTTCCACTAAAAGTCAGTTCTGATAGCGTTTTAGTTTTACTATCAGCTTTTTATAGTTTGTGGGTTGTTTTAACTTGATATAAGAATGGTTCGAAAGGTGCATCGTGAAAAGTATAACCACCATCCGAGGTGTTGAAGGTTGGGCCAAATATGGCTATACGGTAGTTCCCCGTTATACCGCCATCAATATGTATAAAAACATAACATAAGAATTCCTTTTGTACATAAGATCAGTACAATAAAATATTCTGAAATGAAATAACATAAGAGTAGTTTTTACTAGGTAAACTCGGGGTAATTAAATCTCACGTTTACCTATACATGTGGATTAAACACGCATAACTCTGAATCATTAATTGACCAAATATCAGACCAAAGCGTTAACGATGGCGATATTGTCGGGGTATGAACAGTTTTGTATTTGAAATGGTTGGCGGATGGCGATATCAACGGGGTTAAATATAGTGGGGGAAATGTTTCTAACAACATCATTGCGGATGCGGGGTTGACAATACAACTGGGGGTGGGTATACAGAGGGACTACTGTATTACTTTAAATGCCTTCTTATCTAAAATAAAGACGGATATCAATCATATTGGTCCATCCTATATATAATTGCTGAATATAAAGAGACGGTAACACGTATGCTGTCAGAATGGACTCGGAGCCTGCCCCATCCTTAGAGACCAAAGTCCTGGTAATAAATATCCCAACCATATATCCATATACACACGTATTTAGCATATGTATAGAGAATCACGATTATTGAATTGAGGCAGGGTCTTGCCACTCCCGTAGATAGTTAGTGTTTGGTTCACAAATCGGAAACAGTGCGTTCCAACTTAAAAACAGCCCCGCTTTTAGTCTGCACTGTATGAATCCAGTGATGCCATGCATTCTAATGAGTAATGAAAACTAAGTTTGTTTAAAACACAAACAGTAATGGATTTTATTTTGTGAGCTGCCGTGAACGTCTGTCTCCGTTGTCGAGTAAAGAGACAGCAAATGGCCGGTGCCTCGAAACTAATCTGCTGAAAACAACTCACATAGCCACAATGGGTCGTGTTAGCCGTCAAAATAATATCGAGGCAATCTTTTTTTGTTAATTTTGCCAAACCGTTGTATAAAGCTGGATATATTTGCTTCCAGGAGAAAACTCGTTCTGTTTTATGAATCAAATATTGAGTGATAAATATTTTCCTATTACAAATGTACATTTGAAAATTAATTCACTGGCGATGTTTTCAATCTTCTTTAAAACAAGCGATTCAATATTCTCCCCTTTTCCCCCAATATAGAATAAAGATGGCCTCATCTACTTGGACCTCGAATTCAAAGATGACAATCAAAATGGCAGAAACTTCATTATCCATGGTATCGAAAACAAAACTGACTACGTAGATGTTGATTTCACGAAACATGCAGATCCCCTGCCACCAGACAATGAAGAAGACCAGGAACCAGCGGAAACAAAAAATAACTAATATGATCAGCTTTTGTTAAATAACAGCAACATTAAAGGAAACAAAACAACATTTTCGCTTAGATATGAATCCACCTTGAATTTGCCTAATTATACATCTGATCATAACACTATGGTTCACAGATATTTTTGTGTGTGACCTCCAAATGCATATTGGCTGTAACAATTTGTTATTCTATTAACTGTGCGATAATTAACTGTGCGATATGTATGAGATTTGGTAGAATTATACATTAAATAGAATAATATGTATCTCTGCAGTAAAGAATATGGTTATAATATGTATGTGCCTTAACATATTGGGACAAACATATAACACGTGGGATTTTCCATACGTTAGCTTAATACCTAAAATAATCTGTTGAAAAGTACATTGGCCCTAAAGTCCTGCTTAGATGTCTCCGATACATATACGTCATTTCAACACGGGAAAACGTAAAAAAAGAGGTCTCAATAATTATCGGTATAGGCTACCAACTTTAATTTCACTACTTCTCCTCTAGATATTGCTGGTCAAGGTGAAAGGTCAAAGTTTGTCTTGGGCATATCTCTCAAATTTTTCAAACTTGAATATTCATATTTTGTATGGAAGTACATCTTTGGATGCCGGAGTATATGGTCATTGTGACCTTAGTTTTGACCTTTAAATAAAAGAAACCCAGATATTTCTGATGATAATGGGGTGAAGTTAGGGAAAAGAAGGTCACTGTGATATATGTTTGACCTCTGGTTTATTAAAGGTTGTCGAAAGCCTGTCTTACATACTATTTCAACTAGAGTAACCAAATTTGGTATGCAGATATATATATATATGTACAGTTTCCCAGCATTCATTTGTTGTATAACAGACATAATGGATCCCGAATATGTTCCATGTTTCAAGATGATGTAGGAACCAAACAAAGGCTGACATCGGACAGTATCTCGCTGAAGCTTCTGAAACTATTTCAACTATAGTAACCAAATTTGGTATGTAGATATATCCTGAGATGACAGGATTTCTGTACCAAAATTGCTGATTAGGGTCAATAAAAAGACCATATTTTGTATCAGGATACTTTCTTTACAGTAAGCTGATGCTGAGATATGCTGTGGAAAAATAATTCGTCTTGTTCTTAATAGCCATGATTTGAATAGCATTTTCCAATGGGAAATATTCAGAACCTATATTAACCAGAATTGCACTGGTAGTGAACTTTACCTTTACATTCAGTTAGGTCTACGCTTTAAATCAATTTGTCATATTGCAACAACCGCATATATCTTAGTTCGGTTTAAACTGAAATTACGTGACACAATTTGTTTTTTTTAACTTACCTGGTCCGAAGGACCGGCGTGTTTATGCTGTGGCGTAGCATCCGTCATCCATCCGTCCGTCTGTCATCTTTTCCTTTCAAGTTCAATAACCCCCCTTAAAATGTTAAAGTCACCCAAAATTCCAACCTCTTTATATTTATAAATCGTTGCCCTATAAGGTAAATAAAGGTTCTCCTTCTATACGGAAGAAGGGATTAACCAAATTTGATATAGAGTTCTTTTGCAATATGGTATTCAATGTTTTATAAACCAATGCTGTCCCTGCGGGAACGGAGGGGACCAAATAAGGTACGGGTGAGACAAAAGTCAATATTAGAATGTATTATATTTGCTGTATGATATTTAATGAACACTTTTTGCCATGAATGCTAAATTTCCAGGTGGCCGATACAGGCCGTCAATGTCTTTTGTATAATTGCATGCTCGTTAAGTTTATAGTGTGGGTGTTTTTTAACACACATAGTTAAGGATTGGCCTGCATTTTGACTGCGCATACGGTAATATGAACGCAGTTGACAACGAACATATTCCGCTCCATAAAGAATATGTGTGTTGCAAACTGCGTTCATACTGCTGTGTGCGCTGTCGAAATAAAGGTCAATCCTCACATTGTTATCATAAATAATGTTCAAATGCTATACAAAGAAACAGAAATTCGAAGCGGGTAGTTACGATGATAACTACGGTAGCCGTGGTTTTAGGATAATATAGTACCAGTGAATCTACATCGATATATGGGTAAATTTAGAAAATATGCAGTGAACAACACTATTTTTCGTCTTTATGGTCGTTTTTTCGGTCGTTATGTATACGCATTGCTACACTGTTATGGTAGTCGAACGTCGCAAAAGAAAGCCGCCATTCGTTACTTTTCCGTAAAAGAATTTCGAATGTACAGTTTCCCAGCATCCATTTGTTGTATAACAGACATAATGGATCCCGAATATGTTCCATGTTTCAAGATGATGTAGAAACCAAACAAAGGCTGCCATCGGACAGTTATCTCGCTGAAGCTTGAACGGCGCCATATTTGAAATAGGAGTTTTGCAAAGCTGAAAAAGGGCGATATGTAACTATATATAATTACAAGTGTGTTTTGGCTGAATTGAACAGTTTGAAAAATAATATATTTGATTATGTTTGAAATTCGTTCCGTTTACATATTCTACATGTTTGTACTATTAACATATTCAACAATTGCCAATTTTCTCCGGTTTACCAAATTGTCAATCATATTTGGTCTTGAAAATGATGATGGTCATCACAGACACTTACCATTTTTTATTTTGTCTTATTTTTTTAGTGATGTTACTCTAACGACTATTGTCCGAATATTATGTTAGTTTACGGATTGCCTGATAACGTATTGCTTATGTATGTATTCTGTTGACTGAAGATAGTTTCAATACAATCAGCATCATCCATAATCCATTTATAGATAACAAAATATGTCTGCATTATAAATTGCATATATCGCCTTAATAATGTTGATTTTTATGTTCAACGTATGTCATAATATCATTTTTGTTTAAAAATGTATGATGTTTTTGCGTATTATTCCAAAAGATTGGTTCTGAGTGATCACTTTGTCAATATATTTAAGAAATAAAACCAACATCAGTAAAAAGGAATATCCAAACTGTTAACGTGCACCACAACCTTAGAATGGCAAATGTTGAAGCAATTGAAAAAAGCGTTAGACAAATTGTTATATCAGTATTGCATGTATTAACACTATAACAGTTAATATTATGAGAGTTTTCACCATTAACGAACCCAACCCATAGGACATAAAGTGTAAAATTGAATATGACGTATAACAGTAATGATATCCATTTTGTCATTCATAAATAATTGTTAAATGAAGTCGGATGCTTATACCAGTGAAGGTCCGGGGAAAGGCCTACTGTATCCCTGTATCCCACTACACGATCGGAAGAGGCGACTTATGTCCACCCCACCCCCATCTGCAGATTCGGGGTTGGATTGTTCCTTTTCTTCTGTAAAGGGGACATTGAGGAAACCAGAGTATCCCTGTTATATCCCACTGCACATGTGTCGTAAAATGTGGGGCTCCCTGGAAAATCATATGTTTTCTAATGTGTCCTATTTAGAGGGAATTGAAGATACCGAATTTAATATTCGGTCCCAATTGTAACACTTATTCGTTTCCTTTCTGCCTTGTCTTCTTTCTTTCTCACATCCTTTCTCTTCCCGTTGGTGTCTCCCCATATGACACTGGTTGTTACGGGAACGTTAAACCCTTAGAACGCAAACAAACAAATTTATAGAATATGATTATGAAATGTGACCTGGTTCTTTGTTTTTATATTGTTTTTCTTATTTTTCTTAGTTGGTTCTATTGAGTGTAACTTTCCGAGTTGAAAAAGTAGGGGGATAAAGATTGGGCAGCACGAGTTATAGGCCGGTGTTGACACCCGGTATATGTTATTTTATTTTGGAAGTGCATTCGCTAGACTCGTCACATTCTGTGTTTCACGTATCGTTTAAATAATAAAATATGACAGACCTTTCATTTGTGTGGTAGGAGCATTATGTGTCGTTTTTCCAAGCACATTAGTTAACGTTTGTTTGTTAGAAGTCACGGCTTTGGGGTATGAGAGTGGTAGGCCTAGTGTTTACATGCCGCGTTCGTTATGTTCGTGGAAATTCATGAACATGTGAATGTAAAGTTTGTATTAAACACAAATAGTTACTGGAATCTTATTTCGCGAGCTTTCGAAAATGTCCTTTTCCGTTGACAAGCATATGGTCTAAATGACCAGTGTCTCGAGTCTAAACCGCTGCAAACGGCACATGCAAACTTTGCCTTTATTAATCATTCCGAATCATGAATATTTGTGTACTATTTTCCTATGTTAGAAATATCTAGATTAATTCCTAATTGTTTCACTCCTGTGCGCGAACCCATATTGGATATTGAAATACTTTTAATACAATTTAAGATTTGTCAGAATGATATTGCAAAATGTAAGACGATAGTACGTGTCACTGTTGCGAAAAATGTGAGGTTTACTCGTTTACACTTATTTATTTCCAAATATTCTACTAAAAATAAGACAAAGATAATTATAATATATATATAAAAAATATCATAAGTAAATAAACAGTAAATGGAAAAGGAAATAAACAGAAGTTAAAACTACATGTGTTACTATTAACCAATCACAGAACTTGTAACAAAGAAAAACATCAATTTCGGAATTATATCAATTTAAAGTAAGTACAACTTCACATTTCATGTCGTTGATTCATTATCCTAACTACCTTCCCCTGATCTTATAAGTCTATCACTGGATGCTGCATACTAGGTCTTAAGATTTGAACCTGTGTTTACTTTTGACCAATGTGTCCCTACTTGAGGAAATCTGCATTCATATCATGTATGTCCTCTGTTAATATTGAATATTTTTGTTGAATATCAGTTTGCTTTTAGTTTATCATTGATTTGAAATGTATTACGTATTCATTATACGATGACAATGTCATTATAACTATAATTATCCTTGCATAATCATTATTCATCATCAGACTATATTGATGTGATTGCAATCGGTAGAGCAAAATCCTATAATCTAACTACTAACTTAGTATATATAGACAATATGAGTGTGTTTTTTTACCAATAAATTAATTCAATATAATCCAAATATATTTGTTTTCTTTTTAGAGAAAAGACTGATCTGAGGGGTGGAGCTAAAAATGAAATATAATTTAATATTTGAAATCTCTTTTCCGTTAGAATAATTGTACTTTAGCTCAATTTCGTTAGGAAGATTGTTTCGCAAACGGGAGTCAATGTTTTATAAACGCACAGAGTGTGGTCCCATGTGGATACAGGGCATGGCATTATAGGAAATAGAGTGCGCGCGCGATTCCATAGTTCTGGAACCGCACGACATAATTCTATAAAACTGTTCAACCGAATAAAACCGGAACTAGCAGAATTATCAACATTTCGACGAAAGTCGTACTTGTAGGTTTAGAATGTGACGATACAAACGATACGACCGCTTCCAATGCAGTTGATAGTGTTCTATTAATGGCTACTGCTGCAGTTTGAAGGCTTATTTATATATCAAGTAGATCCGTTAAACTGATCGATGTAATATCTGTTGTAACTAGTGTTTTAAATTCAAATTAATTAGCGTTAATTTATGAATGATATTGAAATCAGCATTTGTCTTCGAACTGAAATGTTTCAACCACAAGGTAAACAGTTCATCAATGTTGTGAAATTACTGTAATAATAATGTCATGAATACAAGTGTATTTAAGCCTACGAAAAATATATACCCTGTGATAGCATCCTGATAAACACGAAACAACATAATATATGTTGATGTTTTAGTCTATATCTTTGTTCTAACGATAAAAGAAAACCTTTTGAAAATACAAAGCTATGTCGTAAAGATTTAAATTTTGAAACGGTATTCGGCTCGAGGTATTTCCAAAATTCCTCAAAGTCATTGATGAGGTATTTTATTAATTTATCAACAAGAAAATGGGATTGATATAGATAGTCGTCAGAGTAAATACATGGCTAGTATAGGCATGTGCAAACCTGAGACATGTGCTTGAAACTTCATATTTTAGAATTTGAATTACACCACAGCAAGATATAGTACAGTTAGATTGTGCACTTATTTCTTGCATAATGACAACATTGCACACAACCAGTGTCATATTATTCCTTTGCCAAACAGGTTGAACAGATATACCTCAGCGCAGCCCTTAAGTATATGTTTAAAAGGAAATATTTAATAATGGTTATTCGATAGGCTTACTGTTTTATTCTTCTGTAAAATGTTTGTAATAAATTTACATTTCAGTGTACATGTGGTCGTATTTATATGAAATAATTTGGTGTGTTTAAACGTAGCACCGTAAAAATGTAATTTTAGAACACCGGTCTTCATAAAATTGTATGTCTACTGGCAGTCTTCATGCACTAATTTCTATAAATGAATGATAATACGTCATCGGGTAGATACAATATATATATATGGCATCCACATACACCATCAAGTAGATTAAATACTCTAACATAAATATAATTTACATACATCTTCGGGTTGATAAAATACTCTTATATAAATATCATTTACATACACCATCGGGTTGATAAAATAATATCACATAAATATCATTTACATACACCATCGGGTTGATAAAATACTATCACATAAATATCATTTACATACACCATCGGTTAGATAAAAAAAAATCTCATATAAATATCATTTAGATACACCATCGGGTTGATAAAATACTCTTATATAAGTATCATTTAGATACACCATCGGGTTGATAAAATACTCTTATATAAATATCATTTAGATACACCATCGGATTGATAAAATACTTTAATATGAATATCATTTACATACACCATCGGGTTGATAAAATACTCTTATATAAATATCATTTACACACACCATCGGGTTGATAAAATACTATCACATAAATATCATTTACATACACCATCGGGTTGATAAAATACTATCACATAAATATAATTTACATACACAATCGGTTAGATAAAAAATCTCTCATATAAATATAATTTACATACACAATCAGGTTGATAAAATACTCTAACATAAATATAATTTACATACACAATCAGGTTGATAAAATACTCTTATATAAATATCATTTAGATACACCATCGGGTAGATACATTTATTTAATATGAATATCATTAACATACACCATCGGGTTGATAAAATACTCTTATATAAATATCATTTACATACACCATCGTTTAGATAAAAAATCTCTCATATAAATATAATTTAGATACACAATCGGGTAGATAAAATACTCTAACATAAATATAATTTACATACACAATCAGGTTGATAAAATACTCTTATATAAATATCGTTTAGATACACCATCGGGTTGATAAAATATTCTTATATAAATATCATTTAGATACACCATCGGGTTGATAAAATACTTTGATATAAATATCATTTACATAAACCATAGTGTAGATAAAATACTCTAAAATATATATCATTTACTTACACAATCGGGTAGATAACGTACTTCGATACCTTAAAATTCAAAGACAAAGTTTTGTTCTCATCCATCAAAAGAAAGAAGTGTCAGAATGCACACGCTCGCTAATAAGCACGTTAATAATTGTAACATACATTATATCGAATACAAAATAAGGACCTGACATTGCTATTGTGATAATCACACGTGATAAACCGAACGTGAATCTAGCGTCGTTGCTGTTTTTTCAACACCAAACGTGGTTGCTTAGACAACACTTCCCCATTCGATCATATACTCATCACTTACGTGTATCCTAAGACTAATATTTTTTTGCTGGGCATAAAAGATAAATACAGCCATTTTACTAGGATAAGTCCCCGGGCCCGGTCCCACTTTCGAGGGCTGACTTTCTGAGTCCCTACAATTATTGGTTCAGACTGGATTCACCCTGCCCGTTATGAGAAGTCGTTTGTTAATGCATGGAAAGTGCTGCGATCCCCACCCTATCCTCATATATACAATCGATAGGCATAAAGAGATGACGGTTGTGGTTCTTGTGTCATCATTGACCCTGGTGACTTAGTCCAATCGGGAGTATCCCCACGTTGTTTGCTCTAATCCCAATGCACTAACTTCGGTTTTATAACCATATAAACACATTTTGGGATCGCAACACGGTTGCTTTTGAAGTATATTTGGAAATTCCTAAATATGCAGTTGAGCCGTATTTGGTCATTTAATTAGGTTATTCCATAATACGTGATTTGATTCCAAATTAAATATGAAGTGGTGCCGTATTAAGAATTTAATCATTTGATTCCCAAAAATATGTGGTAATGCAATATTTAGTGCTTAAATTGTTGTAGCGGTCACCATCGAAGGAATAGGCGATATCGAGAACAGCCATCACCAAACAGCCTCAGATAGCGAACTAATAATTTTTTTTTAGTTTTGAGGAATAAGATTAGGCTGAAGATAACATTATGTAGATGGTATCCAGTCATATAAAATTTGCCAGAATTTCCAGACAGTGAGTTTAATTGAAACCAAACTGACGACTCTGAATACGGTAACATAGACGGGTAGCATTGCATGTCGTGATTCTGAGCACTGATGATATTTTTTCTCTCTAATGAACGAGTTTGAATAGTCTCAATGTTGTCGATCAAAGATATTTTAGCTGGAAAGTCAGTTTGCAATAAGTTTCCTTACTCTACACAAAGACGTATATACTTCATATGTCTCTGCTCTACAGTAAAAACCTAACCAATCATGTCGTCATTAAACAGCACAACTCCGTGACCAGTTTCTGTGCCGGAATATTTATCTTGCAAAATTATATACTGTGGTACCTCTACGGTCCAACAATACGGAAATATATCAGTGACAAATGTTTCAAAATAACTTCAACGTTGGTGTCTGCTGTTTTTATATGTCAATATTTTTAGTTATGACAAATCGGCGACATTATGTCTTTCTTATGTTAAGTCGACAATTCTAATAAACAGCAAAATACCGACATTTACACATTTAGTTGTATTCAATACAGTACCTATGTATGCGATGCTAAATAAGATCAGGGACTTATATAATCTAATTTCATGATTACATTTATCTCAAAAATATAATTGAATTATGAGATTCAAACATTTGTGTTTCTCTGTATACATGTAGCATACACAATTTATAATTTAACATCTTGGTTAAATAATGAAAATTATCTCGATCCACTCCCTTAGCAAACTTAGATGTGAAATGTGTGTACAGGTAAATAACATTAAACACCTGTGTCCAGTACTGACAGCAGGAGGCCCAAGACACACCTATATACCTGTGTATAGGTATGACATCAATGGGTTGTCAGCAGGTGGGCAAGGGGGTCCCTGCCGTTAGTATGTAGATTGCATTTGTGTATTTAACAACAATTTCTTCAGGCGAGATAACGGGGAAATGAATAAGCAGAGACGTACATATTACGTCTCTGGTATAAGGATAAATTTCAAGACAAATATTAATAAATGAAATGCGAAAGTACTGTCACAGAGTCA